CAGTAGGCCAGCGTGACTCCGTCGAGCGCTTCGTCAACTTAGTCACATTGCCCGTAGATGTAAACACCGTGTTGAATCTTGTTACGCTACGTCGTGAGAGTCCAAGTATGAGGCGAACGACGTCAACTTCAATGCCATAAACTTGGACAAGCACAACACATCTCCATCGCATGTCGATGCTGATCATTGTAAAACAAGTTGAATAAGATAAAACCATACACCTCCACCAATTCTTAGCTAATCAAAGCATCACGAATAGTTATAATTCAACGCGAACCGTAAATGTACTTCATCTTGCATCCGTAAAATTATGGCGAGTGCCGTAATTTTAGGATGATTTTTTATTAAAGCATGGTTTTAGACCTGGATTAGCCAAAAAAGGTGAAAAGCACAATACTAGTATAAATTATAGCTCAAGATGACAATAATTGCTCGTCATCTTTCACGCTATATTTGAAGTTTTCGCCAAAATGCGTCTTTAATGTGCTGCTTCGTGGCTCAGAGATCACCGATCAACGCAAGAACATGGTACCATGTACAGCAGCATTGATACTACGTAATAAAGCAGCATGGACGGTGTTACGATGCTTAATGTGGGATATAATCACACCCAAAGTAAGCTGTATTTCAGTTTTTTGGCATGTTTGAGGTCGGGAATGCTTGATTTATTACATGAAGCATCATAACATACATTAAGCAGATTATTGACATCAAAGACTCTGACGCATTCTTAAGGGCCACTCACAGCCAATACGAGGGACGCAAAAGCAGCGGCAAGGCAGCCCAACGCAACTGCGTGGCGTTCGCTAGAGGACGAATTGGCTGCAGCGGGTGGAGGGGGTGTTGGCTTCTTTGGACGACGCATTCGTCGCCGAAGCGGCGGTACTGTACATCAAGACGAACTCCAATCTCGGCGACGAGTATACAAACTCTGAGTAAGAGTTTAATCTTGAAATATAAACTATATCAACTGTTTTTTTATATAAACTGTTATACCGTACCTAATATCTGGGTTTTAACAACTACTACAGAGAACCATGTTGGAACTGGCGCAGTGTTGCATAGTGTATATATGGAATAAAGTATGCACGCTGAAAGTGATGGATAATATTATTTATAAAAATATGCAAGTGCAACTCATTGTTATCTGGAGATAGTATTTCACGATTGGATATATTTTAACCAATCCTTGAAGACCTCAAAAATGTTCCACGTGTCGAAGTGCAGTTTATGACGTCATCGAGAGAAGTGGACGTCCATGTTGCATTGACTGGACTTGCTACGTGGTGGGCATTGGGAGCCCTCACGTAGTTTCACTCACTCCACTGGCAAATCACATTCTGTTGATGCCCTGTTCTCATACTAACATATACCCAGCCAGCATCATCCACCACCATGAAGTGAAGTCTGGAGAACGGAGTTCGTCGCTGTGGTTGTAGGTGTTGGCGTTGTAATAGCTCGTGGCTCCATGGGTTTCGTGTATTGCACAATACTGTATACTGAAGTACTCCTAAATATAGTGTGTATACGATGCTGGCACTCACGCCCGGGTTCGACCTTAACGATACCGGAATTCCCACGTTTCGTCGTAAGCTGCGACTGCGCGAGCTCGCTTTCTACGGTAGAGCATCCCACATAACGTTACAGTAGAATACAAACCAAATCTTTCAGTCAAGCACCATGATGACACCAATCGAATGTCGCGTCACCCAATCCTCGAGGTGCGGAGGCTTCTTACCCGACATGGCGCGAGCAAGGCGCACTATCCAATGCACCCACTGACACTCTGACTTTTGAATAATGAAGAGTAATTTTGAATCAACCAATTAGATTGCATAATTCAAGAACCCATTTGACCAATCATAAGGTAGTACTTTAGACTGATACTACTTGTATTGGTTAAAATGAATTGACTTTTGTCATCCTAATATTTAAATTAATATTGGTAGTACCACGGTGCGCCAGTTCCTACGTGGTTCTCTGTACTACTACGTACTAGTAGTATGGTACTACATCATTTCCCGTTCAAGTTGAAATGTATTTCCAGTCAATGTGAAATGAACACGTTCGAAACACGACGATTTTCAAATCAACATGAATTCTCTAACTATGATTTGGATAAAGGAGGAAGATGGGTGAGGGAGGGTAGACATGATCATTGAATTACTATTGTATACTCAAGGGTAGTATAATTCATCACCTTATGGTCACTATACTATAGTTGAAGTAAGTTTAACGTTTCATTTTGAAGTGAACATTTTTCATGTTGAGATGTGAAACTGCACTTGTGAAATCTTATAATATTTCTGCATTTCACATTGACTGGAAATTCATTTCAATTTGAACGGGAAATGGTGTAGTATGCAGCGTACAATTCCCGAATAAAAATTTCCTTTTCAAAGTGAACGAAAAGCAAAACCAGAAATCCTATATTGACTCCCCCTAGTAGGGGGAGTCAATATAGGAAATTTTTATTCACAGTCAACCGTATTTTAATTGCTCAAAACGAAAAGCTGAGGAGAATCAATATAGAGCTCTTTCGAAAACCTGTTGAGCTAGTGTTTGAGTTTCGCCATGTGTTTTCCAGTGATTTGATTGGCCAATGCAAAAATATTGTATTTGAAACGCAAATCCAGTTGACAGAAGTAGGCCGATGTCTCAACGACGATTTGAGTTAGAGTTTCGCTGGAGTCAGGTGTGACACATGGCGCGTCATTGTCATATGCAAATTATAACCAATCAAACTACAGAACCCCAGCACGTGGAAAAAGAATATAATTCCGCAAGCGCTACCGTACCTTGCAAAGCTATGCTTGGAGACGCTTCATACTGCTTTACACGACTTACAGTTAATCAAGCATTCACAATTCCGAGCGTTGTGTGAGATGATCCTGTTTCACCTGGTACCTGAAAGGTAGAGCAACACCTTCGCTGGCTCCCCTTGCAGCCTTTGTGTTCAATCATACACCAGCATGCGAGAAGTCATAATATCAACAAGAACAAAATGTTCGGTAAGCACCTAAGTAGGTCATACTTATCTCTTGAAATTTGTATCTCTGACAGACTAGATAATTTTGTCTATTCGAGAACTATGACTTTGATGCCAAGTGTACTTATTTGACTAAGTGGAAGTAATGGGCACTCAGAGCCTGTTCGGGGAAAATACCGAGACGAAAAACCATGATGGAACGCAATCTGATTGGTGGATTGAAACTGCAATTACCGAGACGCAACCGGAATCCGGATGTGTCTTGGTTGAATTTCGTCTGGGTTTTGCGATATCGAACAGAGACCCCCCGTGTCGGTTTGTGGGCACCATGCGCCAACCACGATGCATGCGGATTCCGGATACAAGGCACTCACAATTCAATTGACGGGATGAGTCGCAAAGCGAGTCAACGCGGAGATGAACCTGTGGTGGACGATGAAAGAGTTTTGATACTGACCGGTAAAGGTGATATTCAAAGTGATTGTGATGTTCTCAATGCAATTGAAGGTAACCTTATGGTCCTAGTCAACAACAACGGAACCAGTGGTGCGATCAAGCGCTCAAAGCTCGACCGCCACCCTGTTGCAGTGAGCGGGAAGACAGCAGCCAAGTGGTCCGACGACTCGGTGACCTGTATGTTTCGACTCCGGTTTGTGCAACTGGCCCACAAGTTTGAAAACGTAAAGAACAATCAAATGCGCCGCGATGCGTATGAATTACTTGCTGCCGAACTCTCCGTGGAGGTGGATCAAGTATTAAGCGCAGAACAAGTTCAAAACAAGGTACAACTTAGTTTATATGTATATTCTACATATTACTGGATCATCTGGATATATATATTTATTTTCTATTATTATTGTAGCTACATGAGTTGAAAAAAAGTGGTTAATCCACATGTACCCCCATCAGAAAGGCTGCCACACACAACTGTGCCACAATGTAAACAGCCACACACACCACCCGGAGGACAGCCAGACATGCCACCAATAGGACATCCACACACGTCACTCAGAGAACTGCCACACACATTACCCGGAGGACAGCCACACATATCACCCGGAGGACAGCCACACATACCACCCGGAGGACAGGCACGGGCTCCACCGTAGCCACAATGTGGGCAGTCACACACAGGACACGGAATACAGCCACACACACCATCAGTGAAACAGCCACATGCACCGTTGCCACCGCCAACTGGACAGCCACACGTACCACCACTCACAATGACAAAACCACGAGTAAACCAGAACTCTTCCCTGGACACGAAATGGTCATCCGCACAATGACACCGGATAAAAAATCCGGTTATGATTTCGTCCTGGTTGAATTTTTTGTCTCGGTATTTTCCCCGAACAGGCTCTCATGGGTTGTGTCAAACTCAAACTCTTGGGGTCTTCGAAAGAGCCATAATATTTTACGTGAGTTTCACTTCGCTGCGGCATGTTTGACTTTCAAATTCTAACTCAACGAATTCGAAAGAGCTCTATTAGAGCTCTTTCGAATTCGTTGAGTTACAGGGAACAACGCTAACGGCGTGATGAGGACTTGTGATTGGACAGAGAGGCGGTTCGAATTGGCCAATTGAGGATCACAAAACCAAAATATAAAAAAAGTATCGAATGAAAAAATGTGATTTGGATATAAGATTACAAAGGATATGAATATAATTAGTACTAGGAAGACATCCATGCCATGGTTTTCAAGTCCTCATTCTTGCAGGAAACTAATTGTCACAAGGGATCAA